ATACTGTTTACCACAGGACAATTTATTAATTTTCATTAAAGTTCACCACACAGAATTTTTTCTGCCATGAATTTCACTAAACATGCTTTTTGTTATAAAATCACCGATTGGTTAAATTTTTTTCAATAACAAAATATATTTTTCTGTGTTCGTAAATTTCTTCCGCTTTTGTTCCTGGAGCCTACCAATAGTTATAAAAGCAGTGTTTTGTTCCAAAAATAGACATTAAAATTTAGCAAATAAAAAATTTTCTACACAGACTATTGATTATTTTAACATATACGCACACACAGACACAGAACTTTGAATTACATTTCACCATTCGTTTTCTATTAAACAAGCCAGAGTTACAAACCAACGCTCTGTTAGTTATACAAATAACACATAACTGAATTAACTGTATGTTCTTCTGAATATAACATTCTATTTCAACATAGAACTTTGAACATTCTATTCCAGAAGCTTCCTTAATTACATATTTTTTTTTATTCAAGCTAACAGATAAAGGGAAACAACTTTCTTTTCCTTAATATTCACATATTGCAAAAATTGTTTTGTATTTGTTGATTTTAATATATATTTTATCGTTGAAACAAAAATCGGTTTTCCATTGTTTTTCCTTGATTCAATAATGTATAAATGTTAAATGTTCTTCAACACGCAGCCACATTAATCTCTTCAACATAGTACACAAGCAACATTTATAAGAGAATACTTGAGTTGGATGTTCTTTCTTAAAAAGAACAATTACCCCGCTTTGAAAATTTGATAATTGCTGTATTCTTCAATAACAAATGGTTAAAACATTTATATGTTCGTTAATTTTTTTTACTTCATTCATATAGTGAAATATATAGTTTGTTTTTTTTTTTAATTTTCTTTCATCATATAATAAATCTAAAATTTCCTGTTTTTTTTTTTTTTTTTTTTTTTTTTGTTTTTTTGTGGGGCATCCTGCATTTATTAAACAAATGATTGATATTACAAACAATGTGCCATATTCTATTAAGTTTATCATGAGAAATCGCGTGTATTAAATTTATTATTCGTATTTCTTGTCTTCAGGTGGATAAATTGTTGATTAACAGTATCATGGCTTCTACTTATCACGGATGTCGTCTCCGAAGATTCTCGTAAGTAATAACCAAAAGACAAAATTTATTAAGAGCTACAATGGACAGGGAATTGTGAAGGGCCATGGTCGCCTACGACCTGAAAGAAAATGACACATAGAAGAAGAATATTACATTGCAAATGCTGCTGTCACTTTTCTACCTATTTTTTGTCATGCTAAAGCTTTTTCCAAAATATTTTTACGTTGCCTCCATTCCTAGTACACAACCCTATTGCCCTCAAATGTATAGACACAGCCATAACGAACCCCCCGCAACACAAATGGATAGTCAAAACTGATTGTTTTTTCTTGTTGCTAGCATAGCATGTGAAATGAGGATCTTAGTATTTCCTATCAAAATTGTTATAAGAGGTTTGTCTGAAACATAAATGGGATTGAGTGTGCTGTGTGAGGTCTGGGGGAAAGAGAGATAAGCGGATTACGTTATTCTTTTTTACATATCCCCATTTTCTTTCTTTCTTCCTTTCTTTATTTCTTCATATCCCCATTTTCTTTCTTCCTTTCTTTTTTTCTTTCTTTCTTCATATGCCCATTTTCTTTCTTTCTTTCTTTCTTTCTTTCTTAATATTGACAGTTTCTTTTTTCTTTTTAATATTGTACATTTCTTCCTTCCTTTCTGAATATTGCGTCTTTATTTTTTTCTCTTTTTTCTTTCTTTCTTTCTTTCTTTCTTTCTTTTCTTCTTCAAATCACGACTTTCTTTCTTTTCTTTCTTTCTTCATATCACCACTTTCTTTCTTTCTTTCTTTCTTTCTTTCTTAATATTGACACTTTCTTTTTTCTTTTTTAATATTGTACATTTCTTCCTTTCTTTCTTTCTTTCTTTCTTAATATTGCCTCTTTCTTTTTTTCTTTTTTTCTTTCTTTCTTTCTTTCTTTCTTTCTTTCTTTCTTAATACTGTCGCGTTATTCATTTGAATGTTGGTATGATATCAATTTTGCCTCAAATTCGAAAACAAGTATTTGAAATGTTACTGAATCTCTCTCTCCCTCCTCCCTCTCTCTCCCTATATATATATATATATATATATATATATATATATATATATATATATATATAAACGAGATCTGTTTGAAAAGTAACGAGACTGGTTTTGTTGTGCGTGAGGTATGGGCGAAAGAGGGATAATCGTATTGTTTTATCATCCAACATATCTTGAGAGTAAATAACTATAATCTTAGCTTTCTGCAACCATTGCACTTTTTTACATGCTAGAGTTGTGGCAAGACAAATCGAGGCTGCTTCACCATGACAATGCATCTGATCAGAAGGCCCTGAGCATCCGGCAATTATTAGCCAAGAAGGACATCGCCGTACTGGAACAACCACCCTATTCACCTGATCTTGCTCCGTGTGACTTTCTTCTTTTCGCAAAGCACAAGGGGACTCATTTTGAAGGTATGGAGCCATCGACAGATCTGAGGGGCATCCAAGAACAATCCTTCCACTAGTGCATAAAATCGTAGCAGAAAATGATGGAAAATGGCATTAGGCTCGATGGAGAATTCATTTGAAGGGGACACCATTTAGTTTGCTGTTTGTAATTGAAATAAATTGTTTGTGTCACCAGTCCCATTACTTTTCAGAGAAAGCTCGTATAAATGGGATGCGGTGTAAAAGTGAAGACAAAGATACACTGTTTCTGTGGCATATGTTAGGATTCAGATGTGCCACTCCCCATTCTCTTGCTACCCACTTTTTTCTCATCACACACTGGATCTTTCTACCACGCCCATTACCACACACTTTGTCAATAACTGCATTAAAATAAGCCAAAAGAGTCAAAGGAGGTTGTTTGATTGATTTCGTTGCGGCATATCAACATCTGTATGGGTTATTTAATGTCGAAATCTAAATATTTTATGGCTTCTACTAAATATATTTAGAACGCAATTGTATGCCTTCAACTACAGATAAAATGTATTGTTAGTCATTTTGCTGTATGTATTGTTGGTAATATGACTATAAATATGTATTTTTATACTTCCATAGTTTTTTTGGGGGGTCACTATATAGAATATAAATTCTGGAACTCTGAAAGGGGTGGCCAAACCACATGAGATTTTTCTGCGGACGAGGGGGAAATTCAAGCAACGTCTTTATTTTCATACTACCCCACTATCGTATACGCAACTTAGAAATGAGTTTTAGTATAAGTATGTCACTTCACTAAATTAAACGGAATAACTTTTCATTCATAGTAGCGAGGTTCTAAGCTATTCTTGCCTACTTTCCCGCTCTCAAGCTGTTGGACCACAAGAGAGGTTAGCTTCAAAACAAAATCAAATGGTTAATACTAACGTCAATACAAGCAGAACAATGTAATTTGTATACTCTGATTGTTTTCATCTACAAGACAAGTGTAGGGCCAACCGACAGGCCAGCCAAAATTCAGGTTGGGAGGCATTGGCTCCTCCCCACCCGTAGAATCGCCACTGGTAAGGGGGAAGTTCAATATGGACATCTTCTTCCCAAAATTCGCTGCTTCGTGAAACAGACTCCCGTGAGGGTTTGTTGGGGACGTGCAGAGTTTGTTAATTATGTGAGAAATAATCAGAAGGAATTTTGAGTTGTTTGCGTGTCTGTCTGCATCCCAAACAAATAATTAAACGAAATTCAAAATACAATTGAAAAGACGGGACATATTCAATTAGAAATCAAAACAACATTTATATACAATTCAAAATAAATACAGAAGATTATTGATGTATGATATGTATGCGAGATGTTTATGTGTGTATATATATATATATATGTAAGCAAATATATGGATATAGATCCGACAGTATGAAGAAAAATATATGCAAAAAAACAAAAATCCGAATATGCAAATATGCTGTTTTAATGTTATTTCAATGTCGACGTCAGACGTTTCGGTCTAGTAGACCTTCTTCAGGACATAGTTATTAAAACATAATTAAAATTAGACGATATTCAAGTCAACATGAAAAGACGATAGGCATAAGAGTAAGACTAATCAAAACAGAATAACTGAATATTCTGTTTTGATTAGTGTTATGTCTATCGTCTTTTCATGTTGACTTGAATATCGTCTATGTCCTGAAGAAGGTCTACTAGACCGAAACGTCTGACGTCAACATTGAAATAACATTAAAACAGCATATTTGCATATTCGGATTTTTGTTTTTCCATATATTTTTCTTCGTATATATATATATATACGAATATGTGGACAAGGTTAAGTGTGTTTTTTTTTTGTGTGTAATGTGATTTTTTAGACATTTAGTGGAAATAGTTTCAACTTCTCTATCAGAGAATCGATCAGGATTTGTTGATAATCTCTTGTTATTTCATTTGAAAACGTGTTGACCTTCTGAAAAACAACTTCTTATTTAAAACAGACCCAGGTCATTGCAATTATCCTGCCGTAGAGTCTCACTGCACAAATAACTAATCAGAATTGCATAAATGAGTTTGCTAAGCTGGGTTCAAGGACACAATTATGGGATCTACTTTAGCTTGTTAACCATCACTCACCCATCAGAATCCCCAATGTTGCTAATTTTTAGATTTTACTTTTCTTTGAATTATGGGATAGATTAGGTTGAGTCATAAATAATTTCCATTTTGGCTTATCTGTCTATATCTCTGAGATGAGGTATTATGATTACTTACATTATTCGGACTGTTATCCGCATCTTCATTGACATATTCACAACGTTTCGACCGAAAATTAAAAAGGACATCCATTCTTCAGAATAGAATGATGATAAAAGATATACAAAAGATATTTAATGCGTAAATCATAATTTTAGGATTTTGTTTTAAAAAACTGTATCAGAAGATGCCGGGGCCAATGAGATCAGATAATTATTTATTTTTTGGGGTACCACAAAGAAAGTACTAAACAGGTACAGGGAGAGAGAGATTTATGTAAACTAAGCTAGACATATTTGATCTGAACAATATGGGAATAGATTTTGATGTTTTTGTTTTTTATTGCCACAGTAAAATAAATATGTCACACCTTGAACGTCATACCGTAGCCGTTTATATAACTATATTTTTTAACTATTCTCCCCATCCCCAGGCAAGGCAATAAAGCCACTAGGATGCAAGGGGTTACTGAGTGTTAGAGGATATGTCTATATCTCTGAGATGAGGTATTATGATTATTTATATTATTTACTTTATTCGGACTGTTATCCTCATCTACATTGCCATATGCACAACGTTTCAGCCGTTGTACGCTCCAACCTTCTTCAGGTGGTGACAATTTGCCTATCGTAACCTATATATATATATATATATATATATATATATATATATATACGTGTATGTGTGTGTGCGTTTTGTTTTTTTCATATATATTCTTTATTGTTATCTGAATTATTATCCCCCATATATATATATATATATATATTTATACACGTTTCATTAAATAATATAGACAAGACAAGTGTTGTCTATTTATTTTATGTAAATTTTTTTCGTAACATCTGGTAAGTTTAATAACATTATCGTTGAACGAAGAAAGAAATTCACAATATTGATCCATATTTTTTTTAATACAATCTAAGCTTTCGGCTTACATAAGCCATTATCAAAGATGTCAATTACAACATTTTAAACAATATACGGATACGACAGTGATGAGAGTCTGTCAATGTTTACATAGATGATTTCTAAGCAACGATAAACACGCGCATATAAGACGCTAGAAGCGAAAATCGCACCGCATCTCATGACGTCACACATGACCACACGAGAGTGAATTGGAGAATGAAGTATGGAAAGCCGTTGGTATAAACAATATATATATATATATATATATATATATATATATATATATATATATATATATATATTGATTCAACTGGTAATACATGAGTTTTAAGTACGATGCAATCATCATGTGCTAATTGAACCGATTGCAAAAAAATAAAAAAAAGCAAAGAAAGAAAAAAGCAAGGAAATTAAAACTGATAGAATGAAAATTGGAGGAATGAAAAACGGAGGAATGGAAAAAAGAAGGAATGAAGAATTGTGAAATGAAAAAAGGAGGAATGAAAAAATGGAGGGATGAAAAATGGAGGGATGAAAAAACGAGGAATGAAGAATTGTGAAATGAAAAAAGGAGGAATGAAAAACGAAAGAATAAAAAAATGGTACAATGAAAATTGGAGGAATGAAAAACGGAGGAATGAAAAAAAAAAGAATGAAGAATTGTGAAATAAAAAAAGGAGGAATGAAAAATGGAAAGATGTAAAATGGAGGAATGAAAAAACGAAGGAATGAAAAAATGATGGAAATTGAAAATGGAGGGATGAAAAATGGAGGAATAAAAAAAATGGAGGAAAAAAAATGGATGAAACAAAAAAAATGTTGAAAAAAAAAGAATAAAAAAAAGGAAGAAAAAAGGAAGAAAAAGGAAGAAACAAAAAAAAAAAAAAAAAAAGAATGAAAATGGATGAAAAAAGGAAGGAATGAAGACACAAAAGAATGAAAAATGGAAGAACAAAATTTTGAAAAAATGAAGACACAAAAATGAAAAATGGAAGAACAAAAGGAAGAAAAAAAAAAAAATAATGAAAATGAAAAATAAAAAAAAAATGAAAAAAAAAGAATGAAAAATGAGGAAATGGAAGAAAAAAATTTTGAAACAAAAAGAATGAAAAATGGAAGAAAAAAGGAAGAAAAAAATGACAAAAATGAGAAAAAAAGGAAGAAAAAATGACAAAAAATGAAAAATGGAAAAACAAAAAAAATTGAGACACAAAAAGAATGAAAAATGGAGAACAAAAAAGAAAAAAGGAAAAAATGGAATGAAAAATGAATGAAAAAAAGGAAAAATGGAAGAAAAAAAATGAAAAAAAACAAAAAAGAAGAAAAAAAAAAAAGAATGAAAAATGGATGAAAAAAAAAAAATGAAAAAATGAAGACACAAAAAGAATGGAAAAATGGAAGAACAAAAAGGAAGAAAAATGAAGAATGAAAAAAAAAAAAAAAGGAAGAAAAATGAAGACACAAAAAGAATGAAAAAATGGAGGAACAAAAAAAGAAAAAAAACACAAAAAGAAAAAAATGGAGGAAATGAAAAGAAAAAAGAACAAAAAAAAAAATGAAAATGGAAGAAAAAAAGGAAGAAAAAAAATGAAAAAAATGAAAAATGGAAGAAAAAAGGAAGAAAAAAAAAAAGAAAAAAAAAAATGGAAAAAAAAGGAAAAAAATGAAGACACAAAAAGAATGAAAAATGGAAGAAAAAAGGAAGAAAAATGGAACACAAAAAAGGAATGAAAATGGAAGAACAAAAGGAAGAAAAAAAAGACACAAAAAAATGAAAATGGAAGGAAAAAAGGAAGAAAAATGATTGAAAAAGAATGAAAATGGAAAAAAAAAAAAAAGGAGACAAAAAGAATGAAAATGGAGGAACAAAAAAGAAAAAATTGGAGATGAAAAAATGAAAAAATGGAAGAACAAAAGGAAGAAAAAAATATAAAAAAATGAATGAAAAAAAAAAAAAATGGAAAAAAAAAAATGAAAAACAAGAATGAAAAAAAAGAAAAATGAAAAAATGGAAAAAAAAATGAAGAAAAAGAAAAAAATGGAAGAACAAAAAGAAAAATGAAGACACAAAAAAATGAAAATGGAAGAAAAAGGAAAAAAAATGAAGACACAAAAAGAAAAAAAATGGAGGAAAAAAAGGAAGAAAAATGAAGACACAAAAAGAATGAAAAATGGAAGAAAAAAGGAAAAAAATGGAAGAAACAAAAAAGAATGAAAAATGGAAGAACAAAAGGAAAAAAATGGAGACACAAAAAAAGAAAAAAAATGGAGGAACAAAAGGAAGAAAAAATGAAGACAAAAAGAATGAAAAAAAAGGAAAAAAAATGAGACACAAAAAAAATGAAAAATGGAAAAAAAATTGAAAAATGAAGAACAAAAAATGAAAAAAATGAAAAAAAAGGAAAAAAAAAGAACAAAAAATGAAAAAAAGAAAAAAGGAAAAAAATGAAAAAAAGAAAAAATGGAGGAACAAAAAAAAAAAAAATGAAAAACAAAAGAATGAAAAAAAAAAAAAAAAGGAAAAAAAAAGGAAGACAAAAAAGAATGGAAAAATGGAGGAAAAAATTTGGAAAAAAAAAATGAAAAAGAAGAACAAAAGAAAAAAAATGAGGAAAAAAAAATGAAAATGAGAAAAAAAAAGAAAAAAAAGACAAAAAGGAAAAAACAAAAGGAAGGAAGACACAAAAAAATGAAAAATGGAGGAACAAAAATGAAAAAGTGACAAAAGAAAAAAGGAAGGAAAAGGAAGAAAAAAAAACAAAAGAATGAAAAAGGAACAAAAAGAAAAAAAATGAAAAAAGAATGAAAAATGGAGGAAAAAAGAAAGAAAAATGAAGACACAAAAGAAAAAAATGGAAGAAAAAAGGAAGAAAAACAAAAAAGAATGAAAAAAAAAGAAGAACAAAAGAATGAAAAAAAAAAAGGAAAAAAAAGAATGAAAAAGGGAAAATGGAAGAAAAAAAAAGAAAAAAAAAAAAAAAGAATGAAAAATGGAAGAAAAAGGAAGAAAAATGGAGACACAAAAAGAATGAAAATGGAGGAAAAAAAGGAAGAAAAAATGAAGACACAAAAAGAAAAAATGGAAGAACAAAAGGAAGAAAAAAAAACAAAAAATGAAAAATGGAAAAAAAAGGAAGAAAAATGAAAAAAAAAATGGAGGAACAAAAAGAAAAAAGGAGGAAAAAATGAAAAATGGAAGAACAAAAAAAAAAAAACACAAAAAGAATGAAAAAAAAAGAAAAAGGAAAAAAAAAATGAAAAACAAAAGAAAAAAAAAAAAAGAAGAAAAAATGGAAAATGGAAAAAATGGAAACAAAGGAAAAAAAAAAAGACAAAAAGAATGAAAAATGGAGGAAAAAGGAAAAAAAATGAAGACACAAAAAGAATGAAAAATGGAAGAAAAAAAAGGAAGAAAAAATGGAAAAAAAAGAATGAAAAATGGAGGAAAAAAGGAAAATGAAACAAAAAAAATGAAAAAAACAAAAGGAAGAAAAAATGAGACACAAAAGAAAAAAAATGGAAAAAAAAAAAGGAAAAAAAAAATGAAAAAAAAAGGAAAAAAGAATGAAAAAAAGAAAAAGAAAAGAAAAATGAAAACAAAAATGAAGGAAAAAAAGAAAAAAAAGACACAAAAAGAATGAAAATGGAAACAAAATGGAAGAAAAAAAATGAAAAAAAGAATGAAAAAAAAAAAAGGAATTGAAGACACAAAAAGAATGAAAAAGGAAAAAAGGAAAAAAATGAAAAAAATGGAGACAAAAAAAAAGAATGAAAAATGGAAGAAAAAAAGGAAGAAAAAATGAAGAAAAAAAAATGAAAAATGGAAGAAAAATGAAAAAAAAAAGAAAAAATGAAGAAAAAAAGAATGAAAAAAAAGAACAAAATGAAAAAAAATGAAGACACAAAAAGAATGAAAATGGAAGAAAAAAGGAAGAAGACAAAAAAGAAAAAAAATGGAGGAACAAAAAAAAGAAAAAAAAAATGAAGAAAAAAGAATGAAAAATGGAGGAACAAAGGAAGAAAAAGGGAAGAAAAAATGAAAAAAAAGAATGAAAAATGGAAGAAAAAAAGGAAGAAAAATTGAAGACACAAAAAAGAATGAAAAATGGAGGAACAAAAGGAAGAAAAAATGGAGAAAAAAAATGAAAAATGGAAGAAAAAAAGGAAGAAAAATGAAGACACAAAAGAATGAAAATGAAAAAGGAAAAAAAAAAGAAAAAAATGAAGACACAAAAAATGAAAATGGAGGAACAAAGGAAAAAAATGAAGACACAAAAAAGAATGAAAAATGGAAGAACAAAAGGAAGAAAAAATGAAGAAAAAAGAATGAAAATGGAAGAAAAAAGGAAAAAAAATGAAGAACAAAATGAAAAATGGAAGAAAAAAGGAAGAAAATGAAAAAAAAGAATGAAAATGGAAGAAAAAAAGAAAAAGAACAAAAGAATGAAAATGGAAGAACAAAAGGAAGAAAAAAAGACACAAAAAGAATGAAAAATGGAAGAACAAAAAAAGAAAAAATGAAAACACAAAAAGAATGAAAAATGGAAGAACAAAAGGAAAAAAAAAATGAAGAGAAAAAAAGAATGAAAAATGGAAGAAAAAGGAAGAAAAAATGAAGACACAAAAAGAATGAAAAAATGGAAGAACAAAAAGAAAAAAAATGAAGACACAAAAATGAAAATGGAGGAAAAAAGAAAGAAAAAAAACAAAAAAAAGAAAAAAAAGGAACAAAAAAAGAAAAAATGGAAGAACAAAAAATGAAAAAATGGAAGAACAAAAAAGAAGAAAAAATGAAGAAAAAAGAATGAAAAATGGAAACAAAAGGAAGAAAAAAAGACACAAAAAAAAATGGAAGAAAAAAGGAAGAAAAAAAAAAAGAATGAAAAATGAAAAAAAAAAAAAAGAATGAAAAAAAAAAAAAAAAAAAAGAATGAAAAATGGAAGAACAAAAGGAAAAAAAAAATGAAGAAAAAAAAGAATGAAAAATGGAAGAAAAAAAGGAAAAAAAATGAAGACACAAAAAATGAAAAATGGAAGAAAAAAGGAAGAAAAAAATGGAATGAAAAAAAAGAATGAAAAATGGAGGAACAAAAAGAAAAAAAAAAGACAAAAAAAAAAGAATGAAAAATGAACAAAAGGAAGAAAAAAAGAAAAAAAAAATGAAAAATGGAAGAACAAAAAAGAAAAAATGGAGACACAAAAAGAATGAAAAATGGAAGAACAAAAAGGAAGAAAAAAAAGGAAAAAAAAAAATGAAGGAAAAAAAAATGAAAAAATGGAGGAAAAAAAAGAACAAAAGAAAAAAAAGAAAAGAAAAGAAAAAAAATGAAAAATGAATGAACAAAAGGAAGAAAAAATGAAAAAAAAGAATGAAAAATGGAGGAACAAAAGGAAGAAAAATGAAACAAAAAGAATGAAAAATGGAGGAACAAAGGAAGAAAAAAAAAAACACAAAAAAGAATGAAAATGGAAAAAAAGGAAAAAAAATGAAGACACAAAAAAGAATGAAAATGGAAGGAACAAAAAAGAAAAAATGACACAAAAAGAATGAAAAATGGAGGAACAAAAAAGAAAATGACACAAAAAAATGAAAAATGGAGGAACAAAAAAGAAAAAAAATGAAGACACAAAAAGAAAAAAATGGAAGAACAAAAGGAAGAAAAAAATGGAAACAAAAAGAATGAAAAAATGGAAGAACAAAAAGAAAAAAGGGAGACACAAAAATGAAAAATGGAGGAACAAAAGGAAAAAAAAAATGAAGAGACAAAAAGAATGAAAAAATGGAAGAACAAAAGGAAGAAAAAATGAAAGACACAAAAAAAAAATGAAAAATGGAAAAAAAAGGAAGAAAAAAAGGAGAGAAAAAAATGAAAAATGGAAAAAAAGAAGAAAAAAAAAGACAAAAAAGAATGAAAAATGGAAGAACAAAAGGAAGAAAAATGAAGACACAAAAAGAATGAAAAATGGAGGAAAAAAGGAAGAAAAATGGAAAAAAAAGAAAAAAAATGGAAAACAAAAGGAAGAAAAAATGGAGAACAAAAAGAATGAAAAATGGAAGAACAAAAGGAAAAAAAAAAACAAAAAAGAAAAAACAAAAGGAAGAAAAAAAACAAAAGAAGAAAAAATGGAAGAAAAAAGGAAGAAAAAAAAAAAAGAATGAAAAATGGAGGAAAAAAAGAAAAAGAGAAGAAAAAAAAGACAAAAAAAGAAAAAAGAATGAAAAAAAAGGAAAAAAAAGGAGAAAAGAAAAAAAAAAAAAGAAAAAAAAAAATGAAGAACAAAAAGAATGAAAAATGGGACAAAAAAAAGAAAAAGAAGACACAAAAAAAATGAAAATGGAAGAACAAAAAAGAAAAAAGGAAGACACAAAAGAATGAAAATGGAAGAAAAAAGGAAGAAAAAAAAACACAAAAGAATGAAAAATGGAAAAAAAATTGTGGAAGACACAAAAAAGAATGAAAAATGAAAAGGAAAAAAAAAAATGGAAGAAAAAAAGGAAAAAAATGGAGACACAAAAGAATGAAAAATGGAAGAACAAAAAAATTGAGACACAAAAAGAATGAAAAATGGAAAAAAGGAAGAAAAAAATGGAGACACAAAAGAATGAAAAATGGAGGAACAAAAGGAAGAAAAAATGGAGGACAAAAAAGAATGAAAATGGAGGAACAAAATGAAGAAAAAATGAAGGACAAAAAATGAAAAATGGAAAAAAAAGGAAGAAAAAAAGACAAAAAAGAATGAAAAATGGGAAAAAAGGAAAAAAATAAAAAGAAAAAAAAAGGGGAAATGGAAGAAAAAGGAAAAAAAAAAGAGCAAATTTTGGAAAAATGAAGGAACAAAAAAATGAAAAAAGGAAGAAAAAAAAATGATGGAAGAATGAAAAAAGGAAGAAAAAATGGAAAAAAGAAGAATGAAAAATGGAAGGGAATGATGGAGGCGGAAAAAAAAAAAAAAACAAAAAAATGGAAGAATGAAAAAATGTGGCAGGAATTAGGCTAAAAAATGAAAAAGAAAAAAAAAAAAGAAAGCAACATGGAAATGCAAAAATAATAGTTTCTTGTCATTTCCTTTAATATTTTAGTTGCTTGATGAATGTGAAAGTCAGTTGGTCAATTCTTAATGAAACGGTAAATTCTTAGAATTGGGTGACAGGTTTTGATTTTGTTTTTGATCTGTCGAAAGTTGCAAGAATTTGTTTTCGTGTCTGCATTTAGAAATGAACACTGACAATGGATGAAAATAATTTCTTTTGCAGCAGGAATGTGATCTGAAATCTTCACACCGTAATTGTAATAAATTAATCTATGTGATTAATATTCACAACTGGATCAAGTGCATTGACAAAGAAGATTATATTGAAAAAATTATTATTTGCTGTGTTAGACAAATACGTTACTTATAGTTAGGCCTTCAACGTATTGATGTGTCTGTGGTTGTTTTTTTTTGTTTTTTTTCTTAACACGAAATGCTATTTTTAGACAATTAGTTATAAATAGATTAAAACCTTTTATCAGGGAATCGATCGGGATTTGTTGATAATCTCTTGTTTTTTTCATGTTAAAAAGAATTAAAGCTGAAAAACCCGATTATTAAAAATAGACTCAGGTCATTGCAATTATCCTGGTGTATAGCGTCACCTAAAAATGCACCAATTAGCAGTCAGAATTGCTTAAATGTTTTGAGTTTAACCGCATCAATAAGAGCTGTTTACTAAGGTTGGGTTAGCCTTGCACAGGGCTACAATTCTCGGGTATCGCTAAAGGATCGACTTCACAACGCTTGTTGTTTATGTATAGCAAGAGTTTAAACATATGCTAAGGTCAATATGTGGTCCACATCACTGATTTAATATATTAGCACAACCTAAAGTAAAAAAAAGATTCCAATAGGAAATTTAGTTAAAATACAACCTTATTGTAAATCTCCTGTGCAATGCCTTTTCATAATAAAATATTTTAATATTTTTCGTATAATAAAAATAATTTTCCAATGCATTCTTATAGTAAAAATCATTTCCAATGCATTCCTATCATAAAAATCATTGGCAATGCATTCCTATAGTAAAAATCATTTTCAATGCATTCCTATAGTAAAAATCATTTCCAATGAATTCCGATAGTAAAAATTATTGGCAATGCATTCCTATAGTAAAAATTGAGAAACCCGGATATAAGAGACTTCTTCTCCGGTCCCGACAACTCTCTTATATCCGGGTAAAATCATTTGTAATGCATTCCCATAGGAAAAAAATCATTTGAAATGCATTCCATAGTAAAAAATCATTTGCAATGCATTCCTATAAAAAAATCATTTCCAATGCATTCCTATAGTAAAACCATTTCAATGCATTCCTATAAAAAAAATTTCCAATGCATTCCAATAGTAAAAATTTTCGCATCCTAAAAAAATTAGGCAATAAATTCCTATAGTAAAAAACATTGGCAATGCATTCCTATAGTAAAAATCATTCGCAATGCATTTCTGTAGTAAAATCATTGGCAAAGCATTCCTTTCACAAAAATCATTCCCCATGCATTCCTATAATAATAATAATAATATTTTTCATTGCATTCCTATATTAACAATAATTTGCAATGCATTCCCATAATCAAAATCATTTGCAATGAATTTCTATGATATGCAACACTAATTGACAGATCGCATCCAGGCGTCAAGATTTTTTTCCCAACATTGCAATTATTATTTTGCCCGAAATTCTTGTAATACACGCTTGTATATTTTCTTTTCAGGACTGATCCGAATGCCATAATGTTCCAGTTGCTTATTCGCTCACCGGAAAGTTCTACACTGATACAAAATATCACAGCCCTTTTGGAGAAAAATGCAAAACTCAAATCAGGTCAACAAACATGGCTGCTAGAAATTGGCGGGCTTTCTTTAAATCAAAACACAGCTAAAGTTTCATCTTCTGTGTTCAATATTACAGGCAGTGATTGGCCAACCAGGTCAGCAGCAGATGGTAAGTAAATACAGGGGAAGCTCGGTTCTCTAACGTCTCACATGTCGAACAAATCGTTTTTCGAACAGAATATTCGAGATGAAAATGCCTCGGTTATCAAACAAAATTTCGGTTCTCGAACAACATTGCCGAAATGAGTTAACCCGAACGGAATCATTTCTTACTCGACAGCCATGTTGTATACATTCGTGTATTGTGTTGTGCTTTTCTTTTCCAATTTTATTGTACTGTGACTTTTTTTCTCTTCCTTAGTCCTCAGTCATGGCTTCAAAGAAAGCTAGCAGTGACAATGGTAAAGAGAAAAAGAAAAATTAAGAGAAAAACTATTGTTGATGATATTGTCTTTTCCTACTCAGTTTCATATGGCAAAAGCAACGATCTATATTATTCTTATAAATAAAGAGGCAATCATGTCTTTCCTTCCTTTTTTTAGATGTTGATGATGTTAGCTCATAATTTTTATATTTTATATTCTGCACTGTCTTTATAACATCCATATTTGCCTATATATATATATATATATATATATGTATACAGTGCAACCTCAGTTCTCGAACGTTTCACATGTCGAACAAATCTGTTTTCGAAAAGAAAATTCGAGATGAAAATGCTTCGGTTATCGAACAAAATTTCCGTTCTCGAACAACATTGCCTAAACCGAGTTAACCCGAACGGAATCATTGCTGAGACGATCGCCATGTTGTATACATTCGTGTATTGTGATGTGCTTTTCTTTTCCAATTCTATTGTACTGTGACTTTTTTTCTCTTCATTAGTCCTCACTCATGGCTCTAAAGAAAACTAGCAGTGATATTGGTAAAGGAAAAAGATATTATATTGTCTCTTCCTGCTCAGTTTCATTTGGCAAAAGCAACGATCTATACTATTCTTATAAATAAAGAGACGATCATGTCTTTCCTTTCTTTTTCAGATATTGATGATGTTACCTCACAATTTTTATATTTTACATTCTGCACTGTCTCTATAGCGTCCATGTTTGACTATATATATATATATATATATATATATATATATATATATAGTGCAACCTCAGTTCTCGAACGTCTCACATGTCGAACAAATCGGTTTTCGAAGAGAAAATTCGAGATGAAAATACCTCAGTTATCGAACAAAATTTCGGTTCTCGGTTCCCTGTACCCGGATGTAGTTTATCCTCATTCCCAGGACGCAGATGTAGTTTATCATCTTACCCAGGACGCAGATGTAGTTTGTCATCTTACCCAGGACGCAGATGTAGTTTATCGTCTTAGCCGAGACGCGTATGTACTTTATCGTCTTACCCAGTACGCGTATGTAGTTTATCGTATTACCCAGGACGCGGATGTAGTTTATTGTCTTACCCAGGACGCAGATGTAGTTTATCGTCTTACCCAGGACACGGATGTAGTTTATCGTCTTACCCAGTACGCGTATGTAGTTTATCGTCTTACCCAGTACGCGTATGTAGTTTATCGTCTTTACCCTGGTCGCGTATGTAGTTTATAGTCTTTACCCTGGTCGCGGATGTAGTTTATAGTCTTTACCCTGGTCGCGGATGTAGTTTATCGCCTTAGCCGGGACGCGGATGTAGTTTATCGTCTTAGCCGGGAAGCAGATGTAGTTTATCGTCTTTACCCAGGACGCGGATGTAGTTAATCGTCTTACCCAGGTCGCGGATGTAGTTTATCGTCTTAGCCGGGACTCGGATGTAGTTTATCGTCTTAGCCGGGACTCGGATGTAGTTTATCGTCTTCACCCAGGACGCGGATGTAGTTTATCGTCTTAGCCGGGACGCAGATGGAGTTTATCGTCTTACCCAGTACGCAGATGTAGTTTATCGTCTTACCGAGGTCGCGGATGTAGTTTATCGTCTTAGCCGGGACGCGGATGTAGTTTATCGTCTTCAACCGGGACGCAGATATAGTCTATCGTCTTTACCCAGGACGCGGATGTAGTTAATCGTCTTACCCAGGTCGCGGATGTAGTTTATCGCCTTAGCCGGGACGCAGATGTAGCTTATTGTCTTAGCCGGGACGCAGATGTAGTTTATCGTCTTTACCCAGGACGCGGATGTAGTTAATCGTCTTTACCCAGGACGCAGATGTAGTTAATCGTCTTAACCTGATCGCGGATGTAGCTTATCGCCTTAGCCGGGACGCAGATGTAGTTTATTGTCTTAGCCGGGACGCAGATGTAGTTTATCGTCTTTACCCAGGATGCGGATGTAGTTAATCGTCTTTACCCAGGACGCAGATGTAGTTAATCGTCTTACCCTGATCGCGAATGTAGTTTATCGTCTTCAACCGGGACGCAGATGTAGTTTATCGTCTTTACCCAGGACGCAGATGTAGTTTATCGTCTTAGCCGGGACGCAGATGTAGTTTATCGTCTTACCCAGGACGCGGATGTAGTTTATCGTCTTACCCAGGACGCAGATGTAGTTTATCGTCTTACCCAGGACGCGGATGTAGTTTATCGTCTTACCCAGGACGCGGATGTAGTTTATCGTCTTACCCAGGACGCAGATGTAGTTTATCGTCTTACCCAGGACGCGGATGTAGTTTATCGTCTTACCCAGGACGCGGATGTAGTTTATCGTCTTCACCCGGGACTTAGGTGTAATTTATCGTCTTACCCAGGACGCGGATGTAGTTAATCGTCTTACCCAGGACGCGGATGTAGTTTATCGTCTTAAGGACGCGGATGTAGTTTATCGTCTTACCAGGGACGCAGATGTATTTTATCGTCTTACCCAGGACGCGGATGTAGTTAATCGTCTTACCCAGGACGCAGATGTAGTTAAATCGTCTTACCCAGGACGCGGATGTAGTTTATCGTCTTACCCAGGACGCGGATGTAGTTTATCGTCTTACCCGGATAAGGAATTGGATGTAGTTTATCGTCTTTACCCAGGACGCGGATGTAGTTTATCGTCTTACCCAGGACGCGGATGTAGTTTATCGTCTTAAGGACGCGAATGTAGTTTATCGTCTTAATAGGACGCGGATGTAGTTTATCGTCTTACCCAGGACGCGGATGTAGTTTATCGTCTTACATGGGACGCGGATGTAGTTTATCGTCTTACCCAGGACGCGGACATAGTTTATCGTCTTACCGGGGACGCGGAATAGTTTATCGTCTTACCCAGGACGCGGATGTTTTTAATTTATCGTCTTACCCAGGACGCATTAAAAAGTTTATCGTAATACCCGGGACGCAGAATATTAAGGTTTATCGTCTTACCCAGTTTTCGTTCGGATGTAGTTTATCGTCTTACCCAGGATGCGGATGTAGTTTATCGTCTTACCCAGGACGCGGATGTAGTTAATCGTCTTACCCAGGACGCGGATGTAGTTTATCGTCTTACCCAGGACGACGGATGTAGTTTATCGTCTTACTGGGACGCAGATGTAGTTTTTCGTCTTACCCAGGACGCAGATGTAGTTTATCGTCTTACCCAGGACGCGGATGTAGTTTATCGTCTTTACCCAGGACGCGGATGTAGTTAATCGTCTTACCCTGAGACGCGGATGTAGTTTATCGTCTTACCCAGGACGCGGATAAAAGTTTATTGTCTTACCCAGGACGCAGATGTAGTTTATCGTCTTACCCAGGAAAAATGTAGTTAATCGTCTTACCCAGGACGCAGACCATATGGATCGCGAATGTAGTTTATCGTCTTACCCGGGACGCAGATGTAGTTTATCGTCTTACCCAGGACGCAGATGTAGTTTATCGTCTTATGGGACGCGGATGTAGTTTATCGTCTTACCCAGGTCGCAGATGTAGTTTATCGTCTCTCGGGGACGCAGATGTAGTTTATCGTCTTAC